ACTGCATGGTTCTCAGCAAAAGAGTATTGAACTGTTACGTGATATATCTGTCCTCCTATATGGCAGAGAATTCTGGAAAATCTCCTCAAAGATGAAGAAGAGGCTTGAAGCAACAGAAATGTGAATCTACAGAAGACGAGGTTTTAGAGAAAATAGAAACAAAAATGGAAACGCGTACTTAACATGAAGAAGCGACAGTTGAAATTTCTTGGGCACACGTAATGGGTAAAGAGGGTTTGGAAAATCTGATACTTAGAGTACAGATTGAAGGAGAGAGCTGGAAACAACGCATAACATACGTAGTGAGCTTGAGACAAATTTTATTAAGGGATACAAAGGAGAGGAAATTGTGGCGAGCCATAATCGCCTACGTCCTGAAGGTTCACGGTACATAAAGAAGAATGGGAGTGTTATATCCTCAGAGATTAAATATTTAGATCTCTTTACATAGTTTTCTTTTCTGATGAGCACACGGCAAGTGTATCCAGATATTCTGGTATGAAGATACTGAAAAAAACCTCAAAAAACTACAAGTCTTTACATTAACAGCAAATACACTGGTTATCCAGTTATTTTTAATTAACCGACCAGATAAAGACCTTTAGAATGTGCTAGAAATGCGACACAACGGTCTAAATACAGTAACTTTCCAATTTATAAGGTCCTGAACTTTGACTTATTATTAATTTCATTAAAATCGCGTTCTACTGTATCCCGATTACTATTCTTTTGTTTTTGCTCCTTAGTAAAGTTCCTCATTTCTAATTCTTCGACACCCAGTAACCTTTTGTGTCTTAGTGGCTTTATTGCCTTGCTTGGGTTGAAACCGATTGCCTTGCTTGGGGTGAAACCGATTTTAAAAAAAAAGTAATATCAGACGAGACATGTACACTCGGGGTATCACGCCCATATCTTTTCTGGTTTTATTTGCCCCTTCATTAAGGGTGGTGGAGGTAAACGCTTCTTGGGTTTCGGCGTTATCCGCCTGATAGAGATCCGAACCTTTGAGTAACTTTGAAGGAGACTATCCTAACAGCAGGTATATAATATCAGCAGGTAAATAATGTCAAGGCTATTGTACTGTTTCCTGAATGGGCTCTAGACCGTGCAGTAGTCATCAACAGGGCGTCTCCATCCCATGATGAAAGGTACCATTATGGCTATATCTTTGAACGATTCTGGTTAGTGAAGTTCAAATAAATTGTACCTATAAGAAAAACGTATAAACACGAAATATATTAAATAATTGTCGGACGTAATCCATTTCATTATATGTTGTTATTGTTTGCGTTAAGATATGTTTCGTGATCAGATATAATTGATCGATAAAAATTATCGAAGATTGTGTATTGATAAACAGTACTTTGTATTTTGTCAATCAGACGCTTCTCTGTGGATGAATAGTATAGCACGTCAGATCAAATGACGGTTTCCGTAGAGGAATACAGGTCCGATTACTGTTGCTTATTTTCTACGAAATTTTTCGAACATTCAGGCCGGTAAATGTAATTAATACTGTTTAATTAAAAACACAGCATTTACTGAAATAAATTGTATGTATAAACAGAAAATATATTATATCTATATATCTATATCTACATCAATATATATCTCTATCTCTATCTCTGTCTGTCTGTGTGTCTGTCTCTTTCTCTCTCTGTCTGTCTGTCTGTCTCTCTCTCTCTCTCTCTATATATATATATATATATATATATATATAAAGCACTATTTCCAGGAAGCAGAGAACCTGCTAACACAAAGCATCGTTTAACAACATTAAAAACATGCAAATAACATAACCATATTAAAACGTATGGAATCTCAAAACTGAAGCCAAAACACACCAAAATAACCTGGAAAATATGAAAAACAACATTAGTTCAAAACAACGTAATATTTGCCTAGAGGAGAAAGTAGCAACAGTCATCTTTCCGTAACAAGATAACTCCTAAACAAAAGATCAGAACTCCTCACCATCTGCAGAGAAGAAAACAAACTCTACCATGGCCAAAGTGTCTGAATAAAATCTCATAGCCGAACTCTAAAAAACTTTCAAAATGACTGTAAATAACGTAAAGGATTCAACCCTAAACGAAAGAACGGGGAAGGGACGCTTTTCACCTCTTTTCCCTTTTCTCAAATCCTCTCATAAGAAGTAATCGTGTCCATTCAGAATGGTGGCGGATCATGGCTCTCCACAATTTCCTGTCCTTTGTAACTCTTAATAACTTTTGTCCATTCCCCATCTCTCCTAAACCTTGCTCCGCCAACCACTCATTCAAGTTTGCCAGGTAGGTTGTCATCCTCTGTTAAGTATAAGTGTCCTCTTTTGTTGTCATTGTTTCCAGAACTTCGTCATGGCTCACATATTCCGTCCATAG